AAAATTTTTTTTGCCCTCTTCCCCTCCTTGCAGGTGAAAGACTTAGCCACCCACCACTAAGAAAGAAGAGCAGCATCTCAGAGGAATTAAGCAGCAACATCTTTTTCTCCTCCTGGAGGTGCCCAAATGCACTTTCTGGCACAGCCCCAGCCTGTGCCAGGCCCTCCAGCAGACAGCATGGCTGCTCTGAGTCTCAGACAGCATCCCCTGACGATGCTGGTTTAGCCTGATCTTCCTGCCAGGCCCCTTCTCCTGGAGGTAAACTGACATCAAATTCATTTTAGAGGGACTTGGGAGGGGGGTGGGTGGGGTGGGGAAGGGTTTGCAATCCCAAAGCCAGGATCCAATGGTTCTCTCCTGCTTGTGTCACCCCATCTGTATCAGCAGAGCAAGTCCTTCCCCTCTGGGAAGGGCAGCAAAGGCATTCTACATGCAGAACAGAGCTCAGCAGGCTTTGGTGGCTCCCCTCACCTGTGAAATTGCTGTAAAATATTTATGGCCAAACCCTAGAAATACGCATGGCTGGAAATGAGGTGTCTAAAAATAAACCAGTCAGGGAAAAAGGAAAGAGATATGGGCTTCCTTCAGAGGCAATTGGAGAGAAAACTGAAGTAGTGTAACTGCCTCCAAATATAGAACACAATTATGGGAAACAAGGGGCATGTTGAACAAGGAATCACCACAAGAAATCATGAGGCTGCCATGGCTCAGAGCTAGTGGTGTCTCAGCAGATGCAGAGCATCACAGATCCCTGCAAACCACAGAGTAGTAAAACATCATCCTGCACCAGGCAGCACTGGGCAAACCTGCAGATCCTTTCCAAGGGACGCAGAGAGCAGACTGCCATGGTGATGCCCAGCGTGCATCAGCTGCACTGAGCACACCCCAAGGTTCAACTACATGGTCACTCTGCACCCCAGCCCAGAGCACAGCAGCAGAAGGCCCAAGAGCTGCAGCCTTCTTGTAATGCAGATGCTGCTGTGCCAGCCCTGGGTGGACTTCTCCATGAACAGAGCTCACAGAAGCTGAGGAAAGCCAGGCAGATGGCTTTGCTTTGGGAATCCAAAGGCCCTCCATCTCTCTCTTCTATGTGACCAGTTTCACCAGGAATCCTCATCCTCAGTGATCTCCCACGTGTGTCCCTTCCAGTGGTGCTCTCTGCCCATTCCTGTCCATCTCACCATGTTCCAGGAGCTGCTAGAGGAGATAAACTGGGGGACGAAAAGCAATGGGGAGTTGTAGCCTGTCCCAAGATTAATGGGAAGGTGGAGAGCTGCATGCTACTGCTGCTTTCGTCCAGCAAGGCCTAAGGCTGCGCAGAAGTGGGACATGTTATGTCCAGAGGTTACATGGCAATGTCACCCAAATCAGAACTTGATCCTACTGCCTTTATCCCCAGTCCTAGACATCTAAGACCTGCTTTGCACATTGCTGTTTGGTGACATGGGCTACGTGGCAGGAGGGCAGGGTCCTTTAGCCTATAACCTTTTGGGAAATCGATGTTGAGATGCCTTTATTCAGGGTGAAGCGCTGAGCCCTCTGGTCTGGCTGGAGTTCCCACAGCATGTGCGATGGATCTTAAGGGTGGCCTATGACCCAGTCAAGTCAGCTCCAAGGCAATGGGCATCCTGGGGGTTTTGGAGGAGAAGTCCAGGCTGTGGGTGTGCTTAGCCTAACCTTCAGCATGAGCATCATTGTGAGGACCAGGGACTTCTCTCATGGCTCTATGCATTCCTATGGGGCCAACTCAGACCAGTGTAGAGCAGATCCCTCTCCTACTAGGCAAGATCAGCTGAGACTTTTGGGTGGCTGTTCATCTCACTGAGCAGGAACAAAGGAGTGGAGTTCAAGCTGGACTGATCGATGGGTGCAATCTCAGGAACTGTGCTTCCTGTGAATATACAATTTTCTCAGTGATTCTCCTACATGGGGCCTAACCAGAGACACAGACTTGCCATGTAAGAGCTGAAGAAGGGACTTGTTTTGTGGGTAGGTAGATTCTGTATGGCAGCACAACGCTTGCAGAATTGAACCCAACATATTTCCACTCTACTGTAAAAGTCACTAAATTTGGGGCCAGCATGTGAAGCATCTTCGATGCATCATTTTGCCTTTCTTGGCAAAAAAGAAAGTTTCCAGAGGTGGGGTGAAGGGGGATCTCCCGGTCTGCAGGCAGAGAAGGAATGTCATCCTCCCAGGAGATGTGCGGGTAGCATCCACTCACCTCAGTGAGCCTCCACTCCTGAGCCATGCAGCGAAAGTCATATGTCCATGCCAGGTAGAAAAACACCCACCTCTGGGTTTCTACGGACATAAAGATGTTTATGGAATCAGAGCACCGTTCATATGAGGAGAGGCTGAGAGAGCTGGAACTGTTCAGCCTGGAGAAGAGAAGGCTCAGGGAGGCCTTATCCATGTGTATAAATACCTGATGGGAGAGAACGAAGAAGAGGGAGCTGGACTCTTCTCAGTAGTGTCCAGTGACAGGGCCAGAGGCAACGGGCACAAATTAGAAAAAAGGAAATTCAGTCTGAACACAAGAAGGCACTTTTCTGCTTTGAGGGTGACCAAGCACTGGCAGAGGTTACCCAAAGAAGTTGTGCTGTCGCCATCCCTGGAGATATTCAAAACCTGACTGGGCACAGTCCTGGGCAACTGTCTCTGGGTGAGCAAGGAAGTTGGACCAGATGACCTCCAGAAGTCTTTTCCAACCTCAACCAGTTTGTGATTCTGTGTATGGTACCTATCACAGCTTCCCTTTTGCCCCCGAAATTGCCTGAGATTAATGCAGCCCACAATCTGTTATTTCTTATTTTATTTATAATATAAAAAATGTTCAAGTGTTAAACAGTCGAGAGTTCTGACATTCAGACGATCCAGAGCAAACTTTTACAATCATCTTATGACAAATTAGCAGAGTTTTCTATCTGACCCCATCATAGGTGAGGAATAGAGGGTTTAGTTACTTTATTGCTAAAAGTTAAATGAAATACACTGTCAATTGTTGTATTATCTTCTCAGTCACAGCTTCACCATGCATCCAATCTACAGTATCTGAAATGCAAAGGACATGCAGAAGTAAAATATAAAAAGAAAAAAGTCAGGCTACAATGTAAACAGGTTTGCTGCAGAGAACTGAAGAGAGAGGGGCACTTCCATGGGGGATGTTCTGCCACCTGGACACGCAGGACTGTCTCTTTGCGCCACAGAGCCAAAGGCCAGAGCTACTCTCAGTTTGGAAACACGACGTCCATCATCGATGGCAAGACATGATGGTAACAACTGTTTACAATATATGGCATGGTGGTACAGAAGAATTCTCTTGCTGGGTTGCCCCACGCACGGCCCTTCCTAGCAACCCAGGGAAGACAAGCGAGGCCAAAAGTGCTCAGGCTCCTGCCAAACCCTGGGGCAGCATGGCTGGCAACAACCTGGCAGGGCATCCAGGGCGAGCCGCAGCCATGCTGCAATGATGGTAACAACTGTTTACAATATATGGCATGGTGGTACAGAAGAATTCTCTTGCTGGGTTGCCCCACGCACGGCCCTTCCTAGCAACCCAGGGAAGACAAGCGAGGCCAAAAGTGCTCAGGCTCCTGCCAAACCCTGGGGCAGCATGGCTGGCAACAACCTGGCAGGGCATCCAGGGCGAGCCGCAGCCATGCTGCACCGTGCAGGTACCCTCCGAGTGTCCTCCCAGCACCGTCTGAAGCACAGCTGAGCATGGCATGCAGGGCACCACAGCCCTGGCAGCCCTATGGCGCCACGGCACGCGGCACCACAGCCAACCCTGCACCACAGCTACACCGCTCAGCCAAGGGGACACCGTGGCCAGCACGGCACCTGTATGGCAATGCAGCCACGGGCCACCGCAGTTGAATGGAGATTGCCCTGTTGGGACCACCACACAGTGCTGTCTGCCTGCCAGGGCTGGCTTCAATGAATTGGATTCAACCATACATAACAAGGTATTATTTCACCACGTCCCTATGGATGTCTGTCTTGTTTGACTACAAACCTGTGCCAACCCAACTTCAGACCCACAGATGAAATAGCCAAAGGTTGAGAGCTATATTGCAAGGGCTGCTGCTGCACAATTTCATTTTCTCTTCCTACCTGTGTGGCAAAAGAAACATTATTTCTGCATTTCAGTACAGTGCTGTTGGGTTTCTTTTTCTCCTGATTTAAGCGAAAATACTAGTATTTTATAGGGCAAGACAGATCCCCATTAGACATGACAATGGAAATGCTCCCACTCATGTCCTTGACATGTGTTTAAACAATATCTTAAAGAATAAGATCATTAATAGAAGGGTAGGAGCAAAGTGGCAAGGCTGTTTTCTTCCGACAGAAGAGCGCCCTTGTGACAGGTTGTCTCTCAAACAAAAAATCTATGATCTTAAAAATGCTACTGAAACAGAATCCTCGGCATGAATCCCAGCACTAGCATACAGCAAAAGGCACCACGATAGTTTTGTTTTCTATTTTTAAGTAGTCAAAAATTGGCCCACTTTTTTTTAACTTTATTGTTTGTTTTCTTCTTTTTATTTTTTTTACTTTTTTTTTTCTCGGAAGCTGTAAATCAAGACATTACATATAAATAGAGATTCCCCATAAAAAAGTCATTGTCATTAGCTATTATAAGACAACTTTGCTAAAATGAAAATAAAACATTTTATTTGTTATATTTTTTCCCTCTTTTATATAAAATAAAAATATTTATTTTTGTTTTGTTTTGTCTCGTCTCCCTCCTCCATGCGGGTTACGTCTGCGGGCACGCAAGTCTGGGAGGCGCCTAGAGAGGATCCGGGTCCGGTTTGGGCGTCGTGTGCGCCATGCTGCTGCGCCCACTCTCCCCATGAGCGCTGTGTCTGCTGCAGGAGTAATGAGTCCGGCTGTCACCCGGCCGGTGGAGCGGGGGCGACTCTGTGAGTGCCACCTCATTGTTCTGAGTGCTTAGGAAGGGGGTGCTCTCGGCCACCAGCTCCTCGTCAGACTCGCTGTAAGAGGCGCTGCTCAAGGAGAAGGAGTCCCGGACGGCTCTGGCTCTGTGAGGGATGTGCCCATTCAGTTTGGATTTTTTCCACCGCCTGTTGCTGCTGGCTGTTTTCTTTGGCTGCTCTAGTGCTGTAACGTACTCCTGCGTCGTCTCGTACTCATCATCCTCCGTGATGCGGAAGGGGCTGGAGGGCAGGCTCCCCATGCTGTCGTTTAGGTAGGTCTTCCTTTGGTAGTAGCTGTCATATCTCTGCGTGTCCTGGAAGGGGAGCTGGTACCGCCGCAGGAGGGGCTGCTGTTCCTCCACGCGGAAGCTGATGGGGGCCGCTGGCGGCAAGGAGACTGCGTGCGCCGAGTTGGGGGAAGTGATCTCGAAGGTGGGCACCTGCGTGGCCATCGAGTAGTGGAAGTCGACAGGTGACAGGCGTGCTGGTGTGGTCAGAGCCGACACGTACCTGAAAAAAGCAACACCTCAATTTGGACACTGAACAACCCCAAAAACCTCCATCTGCCTGCAGTCTGCTGCACACCGGGCACGGGGACCCATGAGGCCTCCAGTGCACCTGGTTTTGGAGCTCGGCATCTCCTGGGGAACCAGGTGGAGGGACCTTGCACTGCTGTGCCAAGAGAGGATCAGCTGCTGTCCTTGGTGGGCGCTTGGGCAGTATGCACCATGCACCCCAGGACTGTCCCTCCCGAGGGACTCGGTGTGCAGTTCCCACCCTGCATCACTTCAAACCTTGCAGCATCTCCCAGCAGGCTGAGTCAAGACTTCCCTGCCTCTCATCTGCCTGCCAGCTGCTTTTTGTTCCCTCTGGAGCTGTCACGCTTGTCTCCAAGGAAGGTTCCTGAAATGACCTCCCACACTTGAGTCACAGATGGGGAAAGCCTGGGCATTGCTTCCTTTGACTTCGCAAAAATCTTGTGTCTTAAAAAGGTATCTACTGCTTTCATCTACTCTAGTGATAACATCTGTATGGCAACTCAGGTCTGGTCTAGCCCCTCTCCAAAAAGCCCTTCCTTCAGCATCACCTCTTTCTAAGGAGCAGATTTAATTTCCTCTTGGTAGTGCCAATTGGTGTCTCCACTCATTTCAGGCTGCCCAGGCTCCCTGGCTCATCTAGTGCCTTTTTACCTGTGTCCTGTGAAGTATGAGATGTCTGTACAAGTTGGATCAGCCTGCCTGAATGGACTAGCAACAGGAATGAGAGAGCAGGAGATGCTGCCTTTCTCCTCTGCCCCACACACAAGTCTGACTGCCTTGAAGTGCCCAAAAGTGGTCACCCACAGCTACCCACAAAGGGCTGAAGCAAGGGTGGAGATGTGCTTGACCGGAAGGCTGGGTTGTACAGGGCCCTGCCCCAAGGCTGTGCCCATATACAGCACCCCTGCTCACCAAGTCATCCAGGACTATGATGAGGATGCACATCTTTTCCCCATATACCTGAAGGCCAGACCCTGCTTGAGCTGCCAGCCCAACAAGCTGCCCAGGGTGTGCTCTCAGCCAGTTTTTCTTCACCAGTTGCTGACTGCAGCCAGGTATTTTCTGCTCCTCTCATCCCTGTGCTCCAAACCTATGTTGCCACCAGGTGAGCAAGGTGCAGTGCTTGCTGCTGCCCCTACCAGAGTGGCCTCCTGGGGTAGTGGATTCCTCTGGTAGGACCAGAGCTGCCGTTGCTCCAGTGCTACCATGGGACTGCTGCTCTAGGACTGGGCAGAGGCAAACATTTTTGTGTCCGGCACAGAGGGCACGGCTGCCTCTGCCGTGCCAGGGCAGCACCAAGCAGTGGGGTCTGACCTCTCGCTGTGTGGTGAGTCCCGCAGAGAATCCACTGAGTCACGATACTGGGTCATGTGCCTCCGTGAGTCCTCGATGCAGAAGGCAGCCCCGCGGCGAGCCCGTGCCTCCACACACGCAGGGCTGTTGCATTTACTGGTTCCCACTGAGGACAGCATTATCCCAGACTGGGAATCTGAAGTCAGACTCTCTGTCCGCTCCAAGCTCCAGGTGTGGCTTTCATGTCTGTGGACCAAACCCCATATGGACAGTGAGCAAGGAATCCCCACCAAGGTCTTCTCCAAATAGCTGCATGCAGGCACAGCTCACGCTCTGCTCTGCACTGGCATCCCCTTTCTCATTAGAATACATCTGGCCAGGGATGCCCAGTTTCCCAACCCTGCCTTTGATTTGCCTTTCTTTGCTGCTTCTTGGAGACATGATTACAGGGTAAAGAAAGGTAAACCAGTGCATAGCAGGTATTTATCACATCACCTCTGATGGCTGGGGACAGGACAGGGCAGCCTCTGGAGGTAGACCACGACAATTCTGCTTTGTGCTTGCAAAGCTTTCTGGATGTGGAACAATGCACTGGCTGTGCCAAGGCAAGTCTGCAAAGGATCTTCAAATGTGCCATCTGCATTGCCAACTGACAGCCCCTTCAGAAATGCTACCAGAAAGGAGCCAGAAAAAAAAACGCACTCAAAATTATTTCATCATAAGCAGAGAAAAGCACACCAAAGGTAGATCTAGATGTTCAGTTTCCATTGGTTTATAAAAGATTTTGGCAGCAAAGCACTTTCAAAGACTACAATATATTGGCTAGACCTTGCTAAGCACTTGGAGCTCCACCTGCCCTAGTCTTGGTGCAAAGAAGACATCCCGCAAGGACTCGCTGGGGATGCATGGGGCCATGCGCACACCGGGGGGCCATCCGTGCCAAGGTCATCAAGCTGACCCATCTCCATAGCAGAAATATGTGATCCATTAGAGAAACAGCTCTGAAGTCCCAAACTGCATCAGATGGAGCTACACTGGCAGAGGATTTTGGGTGGGGGTTTGCAGGGGAGAGCAGTCCTCATTAAGACTTTCCAAGAACTTGTTAATTATTGATGGCTCCAGGCACACGCTCAGCTGCAACCACCACATTCATTTATAACTTCAAACGACATCCTCATTAGAGGCATTAATTGAGTAAAGTAGAGCCTGATTATGCCAGTAGTTTGCCTCTGGCCTGACTTCAAGAAACACCTGCTTACTGCACTTAACTCAGGAAGATTAGGTGGCAGGTAGCCAGGACCAGAGGCTATGCAAGGTAGGTGACTCCCCACAGCTGTCATGTGTTAATGCTGTCCTCCGGACACACCTTTGCATCTTCAGGAGGTGCCCAGAGATGGCCTCAGAGTCCCAGGACTTTGAAGTGAGCATGGAAGACCAGCAAGATGCAGCTCTGCAGGCACAGGAGTCTCTGTGTGCCTGGCTCAAGCTTGCACACACCTAGCCATGAATGAAAAAAAATCTGGAAAACACACCGTTTAGCTCACCAGGGGTGGGATTTCCCCAAAGGCAACTGTTTCCAGCCCAGCAAGTCATTCTTTCTTGGCTCCCTCTCTACATGCTGGAGGTCTAGCCAGAGGAGACTGGGGAGGAATTCACCTGAAAACCTAAGTTCAATATCTGAAGTTGATCTAATGCATTGTACACCGAGAGGACTTGCTCATCCTTGATGAATGCCTGAACCCTGAAGAAACCTGCCAGGAGCCATCTTTGAGCTTTAACTGAAAGGATTCACTGCTCCCTGGACGAATGGAGATAAACTTATTGGGCTAATGAAGTAAATAAGCCAGGACCTCTTTTGCTTTATCAAGTCAATGCAATGTGATCTATATGTCATTGACAGGCTGTAGATATGGCCCCCTGCATCTCGCAGTCACTTTTCAAAGACAAATGCTCTCCTAGGGAAAAACTGTCATGTACTGGAAGAAGCACAAGAGCTATGTAAGAGGAAGAACCTGAACATCCAAACTCAAAACAGCACAGGACTTTCTCTAGAAAATTTGAAGGACTTTTCTGGACATCATAAAAATAAGGAATCCATCTGCAATTTAAATGCTCTCAAAAACCACGAGAACTTCAGCTTCTGAGCCATGCTACTCTTCCCCCCGATGGCTATTTTGAAATGTAGAAAAAATTACATCACATCCTGTGTAGCAAGAATTATTGGTACTTTCCTGTTAGACCCAATTCTCCTGAGAGCTTCAGAAAGACTTCCAGTGAAAGAGGTGCCTTGACATCAGAGGCTGAGATTCTAACGCAACTGTGATAAATTGCACAGGAGTGCTTTTTCTGGTGAAAAACTGTGACTCCCAAGTCACATCCCAACTTTAAGGAACTGGCCAAAACATTTTGTGACATTTTGTATACTTTGCCTTCCACAAGGCAAATACATTCTAAATATGTCAAGCATGAAACAAATAACCTGTGTGTGCTTAATGAATTGTTGCAGGAGTCCAGTGTGGTTGCAAACATAACTTGCAAAAGCTTTCCTAGATGCATCCTCCCGTTTGTGTCTGTGCAACATATGAAAGCACAACTTCATTTCCTCCCAGTTTCCAGCTATATCAGTGCTGCAAGTTCCTGCTGGCACCTTGCTGCAGGTCAAGGATCACACCTTTCCACACCTCTGACTAACTAGCTCTGCCAGCAAAGAACTGCAGTGTCAACATGTCCTGTATGCTAGTGTAGTGCGAAACATCAGCTAAAAACAGAAGGGGAGGTGAAAGAAAAACCTTTTACTGGCTTTGAATCTCACAGCATCCTAAGGCAAACAGCAGGAGAAAGTTCAGGGGAAAACGGTATACGTCACCTCTGGCTGGACGTTGGAGTGGCTGTGGAACAGTGATGAGACGGGGAGCAGGAGTGACTTCCTGAAAAGGTTGTTTCTGTTTCCCTTCGGATCACATGCTCAGTGGCAGAAACATTCTTAGAAATATACTGTAAAATATAAAGAATCACACAGATCAGCTACCAGATTGGTAACACTGCCACAGACAAATTCAGCTGGCTTGATTATTTCTGGTGAAATCAGATGAGGACTGAGTGAACCCGGCAGCTCGGCACTGCATGGAAAGAGACAAGGAGGCTGGAGGCTCTTCTCTGCCACTGCATTTTGAACACTGAAAAAGAGCCATGGCACAGGGACTGCAGAAGGGTATGAAGAGCCAAGGGGTTCCCCAGAGGACAGTGGTACCATGTGTACCTACTGAGCAGAAAAACATCTCTGCTCACAGGAGGTTATACACTCAACAGAGTACCAGCAAAAAGACAACCACATGAGATCTGCCAGAGATACGAGTCTTACAGAAACACCAGGTGTAATCCAAATATTTATGCTGAGATATTCCTTCATCCAACAACAAGCACTGCTTTTCACAGCCACACTATGCTGTCTGCGGGAGTCAGTACTTTGGGGCCAGAAGGCCACGGTTCTTACAAATTCCCTTTCTCTTTTCCTTCATGGCTGGGATTCAACCTAGCTAAATTTTAACATGCAAAGGGTGACCCAGCAGAGCTTGTAACTGATTCATTGTACTTTGTTGTACTCATTTCTATCAATACTTCTTTTCATTTGGCTCTGCCTCCCCCTTCCCTTTTTCTGAGCCTTTTCAATGCCTTGGTCCAGCAAGGCACTTAAGGATGTTGACGATCCTATTGAGTTCACGGAATTTGATGGGAATCTTATGTGACTGAAGTCATGAGAGTGGCTGAATTGCCCTTCTGGATCCAGTCCTAAATTCTTAGACCATTCTCATTGCCGTGACACTGGCACCCTACCAGGACATCCCACCTTGCCCAGGATGCAACTCTTGGTATGGGCAGGTGGGCTAACAGGGTGCTGATCAGATCACCATGACATACTTCAGCACAACGTGGTCACCACGGCAGTCCGAGCCACTGCCATGCCAATCGCATGTGTCATGCCGCAAAGTGGGGCTTGATGGGATAGCTTAATAAACAGGAAACATTGGGAACATCTCTTTTAGAGGAAAACAGGATCACACTTGATTCATCAAAACAAGCCAGTCCCAAGTCCTCTAATCTCATCCTGTGCTTCAAAGTAAAATCACTTTTCCCTTCAGATGTTGGTTTTGGAAATGTTTCTATGCAGAATCTCATCTTTTTGTTCAAGTTTGTTAGTGTTTTGCTCCTCACGCACATGCATGCAGGTGTGTAAGCATACACATCCACATCAAATCACTGGAGGAAAACAGGCACTCAGTAACATGCAGGGAGATGGAGACAAAAGGTCTTACATCAGCCATTTGGATTTCCTCAGGATCCAAACGTGGATGGCTTGGCCCATTTGCAAGGCTCCTGTTCTGATGGGCAGGGCACATGTTCTGCCGTAAATGATTATGCATTTGTTTTCTCTGTTTCCTTTAAAACAGAAAGGAAAAAAATCTATTAGGAAGACTTATCTCATGGGGTTCTCTGTCCCCAGAGACACCTGGGCGATGGAGATGATAGAGAAGGCAAGTCTCAGACACACTTGATGTTTTAATGGTGTTTGTGGAAAGCTGCAAACAGGAAGAAACAAGGCATTCAACATTTGCCACCTTCTGCTGCTTTTTCAAAGAAAGTTGAACATTTCTCATCATGGGCAATTTGGGAAGCTGGATCCAGGGTCCCCTTTTGCAAGACAAGGCCCAGCACAATGCAGTGGAGCCAGGGGCACAATGGTGCTGGGAGCAGAAGAAAAAAGTGGGGAGAAGGAAAAGGGGAAACAGGTCCTGGCTTGGCTTTGGTGGCAAGGCTGCATTAAGCACGAATTGGCAAAACTGGCAGGGCATCCACTCCACAAGATCCCCCATGTCCCAGGGGCACCCTGAACTGAGGTGAAGTGCAGGCTAAGTAGGGAAAAAGATGCTGTCCAGGCAGGGAAGGCTGGCCATAAAAGAGGTCTCCAAGCCTCCTGTTCCATCAAGATTGCTCTAAAAGTCCCTGAAATGCATATAGCTGAGCACACAGCTCCTGCACAACTGCCCAATGTGCTTCTGCTGCCAGGAGATGAGCTGCTGGCTTGAGGGCCAGCTTTTCCCAGTAACACAGCATCACCTGGCTAGGCGAAATGATGCTGATTCAGGGGATAAGTAAATGGTCCCAGGAAAATATCCTGTTCAGGCACAGCCTGGTAGATGGCTTCACTGGCCTCCTTCTTGAGACCTCCCTGGGAATACCACAGAACAGTATCTGCTTAAAGCAGCATTTGGGCAAAGAGCATGAAAGTGTGAAGCATGAACACTACCACTCAATAACCTCTGGTCAGTTATTGTCTGTTAACCATCCAGACTCACTTGGTTTTACAGTAAGCTACCACACAGACGATGCCCACCACAAGCAAGGCAACACAGATTCCCGTGATGGTTAAAACTCTCTTCTGGTAGAGCTCTTCTGCTTCTGCAAATGGAGAGAAAGAAATCAGTTACAAATGGGCTCCAGCACCAGGGATGCGTCTGGCTGCACAGGAACCAGCACTGCATGTGTGTAAGATGGAGAACAGGGCTTGGTCAGACCTCCTACCAATCCACTGCCCATCTCTAATAGCTGCCCCAAACCTGAGACCAGCTGGCCCAACCTTACTCACCCCTTAGGAGACCTTCACTCCTTTTGTCTCTGGACCTTTGCTCTCTCTCGCTCAGTAGCTCACTTCTTCTACACTCAAACACGCTTCTCACTTTCTCTTCTTTTCCCACAGCATAACTCAGTGACTAACCTCAAAAAGCCCCATGACTCTCTTCTCCCTTCCAGCAGATCCCCCCCTTCTTGGTAACTTAGTAGCCTACCAAGGAAGCCCCCAAGCATCCCCCACTCACCACATACACACATGCCCTGTGATGCTCTCATCACAGGCTCTCTGCTCTGACGGACTCAGAATGCCTTTTCCTTGCAGCAGCTGCATGCCTTGGAGCTCGGCAGTGTGCTAGAAACCACCGAGCAACAGGCCCCAAAGCATGTAGGTGCTGAAAGGGACATGCTAAAACAGTCAAAAAGCAGAATGAGGACGGAAAGTGATAGCACATTAGACAAAGAAAAAGGAGTGGAGTAATTAAAATACAGTAACCAATTACAGTTATGAATTTTTAATGAAACCCTAGGAAACAATTAATTCCATTGCACCAGGTAACTCAGATGCACACACAAAATTCAAGTTCTCTCAAATATCACCATTTGTCATTGACCACCTTTCAAACCAGAAAAGTCAGTCGCTTCAAAACCCAGACCATGCTGGAAGTGAGGTAATTCATTCACATTACTCAAAGCTCCAAGGAAATGCTAGGATGTCACTTGCAGTGTAACTGAACTACATCTAGGCAGCAATCACACAGCAAGGACACCTCTTCCTCTGTGGCTACACCAGAGCAGATACTCTTCTCAGTGACATCCAGTAATCTCCACTGAGATCAGCAGAGGCAATTTGATTCTCCAGCTGGATGATTGAGAGAAGGATTCAGTGCACAGCTGCCATGAGCGTTTTAGTTCAGTATCTATGAACGATGTCCTCATGCCCCCATACTAAGTATTAATGTTAAAGTTATTGGGGTTTGTGCCTTCTTTAATATTCACTGAAATATTTTTTCATACAGATTAGGCAATAAAACTCATGCCATGGTTGCTGTGCCTGTCATGGTTCACCACACCATACTAAATACCTTGAATGGACTGTACAATATCCCCAGTGCTACCAAACAATAAAATGCAAAACCAGAAGAGAAACAGGTCTGGTTCCAGAAACCCCTGGGACTAGACTTTAGCAAAAAAGCAAGGGGGAAGCAATGAAACATTCCAGATAACTGAATATTTAGACCAATTTCAACTTGCCATTTTAGGAAGGAAAAAGCATGTTTGGAAGAAAAAAAAAGTGCTAGGAAAAAAGTTTACCTCTTTCTCACTCTCAAAATGGGAATGAAGAAGGATTTGCTAAACAAGGGCTGAGAATGACAGCTCTGCCACAAAGATGCAAAGTATAATCAGCAAAGCTTGCATGCCTGTGCTGTAAAACTATAGTTTAGAGAAATACATTTCCATCCATTTTGATTGCGTACTGCCCTTTGGCTTCTTGAGGTGCTCATGTTGCCGGTAGAGTTGCCAGGAAGGCAATGTCCCACTATTCACTAGAGAGGCGGGCAGGTGAGACCCTCCCAGACTCCATGTCCATGGTGGTGTGGATCAGGAACGACAGGACATGGGTCTCACTTTGGGATGAAAGTTATCATGCTGCAGCAGCTTCACCAGCTGGCTGCACCTCCTCAGAGCCAGAGCCTGTACGACCTGGGACCTGCTCATAGAGGGGGGTTTAGCTGCTGGCTGACCTTACACTCCTTGTGTTTTACTACCAGGAACCAGGTGGAGCTGTCACAGGGAAAGAACTCACTTTGGGGTGAAATACCTCCTTCAGCAACTTGTTTCCCTTGCACGGATGCCCTTTTCCAGGCATCAGCAACCATGGCAGACAAGTTTTCTTGCTCTTGCACACTTCTGGGACCTGGATTCCATCTGTACAGCTCTTTCCTTCAGACAGGAGTTTCAGAGACTTTATCAGAATCAGGAAAACCAGCTAGGATCATGTCCTGGTTATGGACAATTCTTGCACTGGGCAAGAATTTTGCTACTACCTAGCAAAAGCTACTGTTACCAAAAAAAAAAAAAAAGGCTGGGCAGGAGGTCAGTTTTCACCATGGAACCATCCATCAGGCCAATTTTTTCAAAGATTTTTCACCAGCTATGTTTTTTGCTACAAAGACATTTTTTACAAGCATAAATCATTACCTTTGAATCATGGAGGAGGGAGAAAGAGCAAAGCCGTCAAAACTCTGGGGTGTTGTGGGGTTTTTTTTGTTGTTACCTGTTACCTACATGACAAAACTTTTCACCCAGCACTCAAATCACAGCTTCTGTTCTGGTGATCATGTCAGTACGGGACCCTGATTCTGGCATGTCTGACTGTCCTGAACCTTCACCTGAATTGCATGGAGAAAGTTTCAGTTCATCAGAAATGCAGATTTAGCCTCTCCATCTTGAGCTGACAGCTCTGCTATGTGAAGCAGTGAAGTGTGAGGCTGTACGTCACTGCTGCAAAACTAAAAATTAAATGACCTGCTGATAGTAATTTAGCTTGGCTCCTAACATCTCATTAAAGCTGATGCTCGATAACACAGTAACTTCATGTTGCACAAAACCGTCTCAACAATGACAGAAAGAAAGTAAGAGAATGCACACTACAGTTTTGTATTTGAGAAGGTAATTTCCTGGAGCAGGACTTGTCCATTTGTGTCTCTATGCTCAACAAACACCACGTCTTCAGCAGCAGCAGCATCACTCTACAGCAGCAAACACTATGAACAAACCATGTGGTGCCACATAATGCCGACAGAATCGCAGTCCAGCCATGGGTGTCACAGCAACGCATGAAAGTGAAAGACGAATGACAGAGAAGAGACGACTGGAGACTGGGAACAGGATGTGTGCGGTTCTGTGATGACATTGAGAATGGATGAGGAAAAGGACAAAAGGTCAACAAAAAAGGGATGTCAAAAATCCTCAATTTTAGAGTTTATTTAAGTGTATTAGCATTAGCAGCACCACTTTCTCTGAAACACCTGACCACAAAATGCACACATTTTCTGCAGCAGGGAAGAACTGCTGGGGGATACACACCTATCCCGGTGGATCAGGCAGGCAAAAATCAGAGGAGACAAGTTTCTCCAGCTTCAGCTAGTGGATGTCCCTCCACCTCAGGGTCCTGAGAAGACAATATAGGATCCAGAAGTGAAAGCTTGGTGTCCCCATACCTCTAGCAAATGGAACTGAAGTGTCTTCACGTGAAGATCTGCTCTGACTGACATTGCTGGGTCAACGTTTTTAAGTTAAGTGATAAAGATAAATCTCTCTGCTCTCATCTGACCAGCCCTCCCTGCGATTGGCCTGTACACTCAAGGGAAACCGAGCCTCAAGGATTTGATTTCCCAGGTGCTTACTTACTCAAGAGATACTTGATATATTTCTAAAAACAGACTGAGAAGAATGGAAGAAAAATATGAATATGAGCAACTGGACAGGAGCAGGTAATTGCCCAAAGGGGATATTTTTAAAAGCACTTAAGTCACTGCAGTGCTTTTCCAAATTTCAGCTTGCCACCATGATGCTCAGCATTATATCCTCCACTCTCATGGGAGACTACTCACTTCCCTGGGCTCATTGTTCTCTAGAATAACTTGTCTCACACCACCTTTCTTGGAACAATTTCCTCCCAGTGAAGAACTGAAATAAGCCACCGACCTTTGAGAGGAGGAACGGCAAAGCTCATCCTGACCTTTCGTAGGCTCCAGTGGAGGTTAGTGCGTCTAGGATGGTAATTTCTACAAAAGCCCTGATCTTCCTAAAACTTGTCTTCCAATTCCTGGAATGCCTACCCATTCCCATGTGGTACCTGCTGGCAACCTTTTAGACAGATATAGATTCCAGCTTTTCAGTTAAATACACAAAAACATGTTGAATGAGGAGACGTATGGCAATTGTAACATCCCAGTCACGCCACACACACCGGGCTGCTGCTTGAAACAAAGAAAAAAGTGCTGCTAAAAATACACATGCATTTTTATAGGTTTACATTTAGATTTTGTGTTTTGCTTTGTTTTGTTTTGTTTTGTTTTTTCAATCCAAACATGTATCTTGGTGCCAGGGAAGAGAACAGAACAGCTGATTTTTTAATCATCCCATTAAAGCCATAAATATAATGTGGGCAGCTCTTAATGGCTTCTGATTAATAAATGAATGGTTGTTCCATACCCTTTAATTCAAATCCAAGATGCTCTGCCAATGCAGAAAGAGGACAAGGAAGAGAAAGAGAAAAAGAAAAACAGGTCTGTCAGAGAACTCTAGTATACAAACACACACACTGTGCAGTTACAGCAGGTTAGCTTTTCTGTAGGCTCAACAGCAGTTACACAGAAGACAGTGTATGCTTCAGAGCATTTCAAATTCCCACTAGAGCTTATATCTTATGTAAAGAAAGACCCAAACAAATTGCAGTGGAAGTTAATTATGAATTCTTTTAGTTAATTATGAATTCTTTTGAGATGAGCCATGTTTGTTAGTACCCGATATGGAATTCACAGTTCAGGCAGGGGGAAAAAAAAAAAAAAGAAAAAAAAGGTACATTTGTTCTGAAACAACTCCTGACAGGTCAAAACACTCAGTGTCTGCATGAACCTGGTAAAAAACATTCATTTGCTTTCTACAGGCAAGGTATGCCTTGCATGGTTTCACACACCCCTCTTTGCCTGGGGGCCTGTGCATCAAATAAGAGTGCTGGGCAGACAGATGTGTGGGCGCTTGCATGGGGCCCTGAGGCCTGCCAGCATGATTCTGCTGCCCACGACCTCTAGTCTGGTCTCGGATGCACAACTCATCCGACAGCATTGCCTGTAAATCACCTGATGGCGTGTCAATTGTGCAAGCACTGCTCCTGGCAGGACGCATCTGCGGTTGAACCACTGATGCTGCAGGTGATTAGTTGCCTGGGCAAGGCAATGAATCCCTTGCAGATCGAAAAGTGCAAATTGCACTGAAAGTTTCCCTGAAGTCTGGGATCTTCCAAACTTCACTTCTGCTGTGGTTCTGCATTATTTTAGAAACAACAAGCACGCTGAAAAAAGCACAAATTGGAGCATCTGCTGTCAGATTCATATTCATTACAAGTAAGATTCAGTTCATCCTGCAGAGATAGTGCTAAGCAAAGTAATGAACCTAATGAATCAACAACACAGTTATCCAAAACAGGTATCCTGAATTTTAGTAATTTTCCTGGTACAGGCCTCACCTAAAGACAGCTTTTCTTACATAAGCATTAAACTTCTCCATACTTACCACTGCACAGAAAAATGAGCTCTGCTGTTCCCAATCACCAAACATACAAGATTATTTGCAGCTTGGAGATGTTCAGATTTATGTACTGTATTTTCCATAGGAACTGCTTTTTGTTGCACAGAAATATTGGCTTTCTTTTGCAATGCTGTTCAAAATTTAGGCAGAGGGGGAATTAGCACTAATTGGAAACATGGAAACTTGTTTTCTAAAGCAGGTTCTTCTCTTCAAATGAATGCTGATGTTTGGGGTTTTTTTGGGGGGCGGGAGTTGAATGGGGTTGGGTTTTTTAAAATTTTGTATAATTTAAAGGTCACAAAACCTGGCTGCTCTCTGCTTTGCATCTCACATTTGTGCAAAAGGAACGGCAAACTCTACCATACATTTACAGTCATTTTGTACGAGTTGCAGTGACATGGACACAATGTGGTGGGCAGCAGAGAACTGGACAGAATATATTCATCCTAAACCTCTTGGTTATCACATCTAGCTTTGACTTATTCCTAAGGCATGCTACCATTACACACACTGCTTCACCTGACACTATGACAAATGCCTGTAGAGATACATGAAATTTCATCTATGTATCTATGCTATTGATCCATTTGATAGCTGCATACTGCCTACACTGCCACATTTCCTCATTCGTCCCTCTTCCAGGATTGCTGCAGCATCTACAGCTACAAATGGATGCAATTCAAAACATTTTCATGTTTTTTTTTTCAAATTCAGAAATGATTGTGCAAACAGAGGTGGTAGGCAGGACCTGAGGATCTTTAGCCTTCCCACTGTCCCTCTCACATCAGAACTGCAGTTTCTTTTGGCTCCCCAACCCCATGGAGCAGACACAGCTGGCTGGCTCATTGGGTCCTAGCTACAGGTTCCCTGAGCAGGAGAGAAACCATGCAAGCAAGCAACAGCTGGAATGTATGTGTCTGCCTATGCCTACAAACCCACTGGTAGCTTGGCAGATAGAGGAAGCCTTATCCCAGCCTATGCTCCTGCACATGATGTCCATGGCTACTCAACACTTCTCTACCATCTTTTCAGGTTACAGACATAGCTTCTGTATCACCCATAACCGAACACATCGAATCAGGAGCCACTCTCCCCTTCCCCTGCTCAGGAGTTCCTCCCAGCCTGGGCAGGTATTGCCTTCTGTGCTGGGACAGTGAAGCAAGAAACACTTCAAGAGTAGGCTGGGATTTGGAGGGTTTGGCTCTTCTCTAAAGAAGAGACTGTTCAAAATCATTCAACATGTTACAGTCCAGAGGCTAACAAAATGACCCCAGCTCCGGGAAAAACACTGCCTCAAAATGTAATCATTCTGCACTCAGCAGAGGGGTATCATCTTCACTAACATGGCTTACCACATAGTGCATGCCTATTTATATCAACAATATACCGCTTGGTAGCAAACATGTTCAAGAAATCAAAATTTCTCCTAGAGACAACAGTTTATTTTGGTCTGGAGCAAAAGATATTTCTGATTGCATATCATGTTTGATAGAAGTCTCCTTTGCTTTTTTAAGAGGTTGATCTGGAAAAGTAATACATCTTTAAAAGCTTTGGGTTATATGTGCTGCTAGGTGGAAAAGATGCTCAGCATGACGTGTAGCACCTGCACTCTGTCCTGCAACAGTTCGGCCAATGTGCATTTTACTCACCCTCCCAGTTAGACTGGCAGTCTGGGAGACTTGGCTTCTGGGGATGCCTAGAAACCTTTGGGCAACATTCCCCTCTGCAGCCATTAACCATACAGAGAGAAGCATGAGGTCCAGTTAAGTCCTCCGGCTGCTTCAGACAGTGATTAACTCCATGCTGATAGAGGTGATTGCAATGGGGAGGTGTATTGTACCCCAGGACTGTGGCACAGGGAGCCTTTGGGATAGCAAAAATTGAATGGATGAATCCCATTTGCAGAGGCAAACTGATACATGCCAGGAGTGCTGACAGAATGCAGCAGTACTCTCCAACTCCCATGGCACAAGCTTCATTGGCAGCAATATATCCAGAGGCTACCATGCCTGAGACAGCACTGAGGTGGTAGCTCTAGGCTGAGGAAATGGGCTTTTTATGTTTCTCACATCATCAACCTTCTGTCTGAACTCTACACATGCTCCCTGATCATGGCAAGGAGCTACAGCTGAGCACCCTGGACTGCTGTGAGACTCCCCAAACTATATGACTTGGGGACATGCTTTTTGGAAAATCTC